CTGAGTGAACTGAAATTATAGGACACGATTCACGGAGATATTCGTTCGCGAAACCACCGAACTGGATCAGTTGAGTATCATCGGACGTGCCTACTTGCCGGCGTTGGACGCACGTAAAATGAACAACATTTTGGAATTGTATCGAGCACTATGTGAGGGAATGCCTGGAAAGTACAGGTGAGTGCTTCAAAGAAGTCGCTTTTGAGAGTTTTGCATGATAGTTCTCTTCTTCATTAACGAAAACAGACATATTCCATAACATTTGCTGTAGGGATGTTGGTGATGTTGAAGATTATATATGACTATTGTGGAGTATCTGCACCGGGAATTGACTTTATTCGTGATTAGTTTCATCTGGTTCATATTTGTGCGGTTGAATAGGAAGTGCTGCTGATGCAATTGGTCGTAATTGTGTGTTGTAACGGTTACAGTTTACGAACGCTTTGCCGTGCACTCACATTGGCATCAACAGATTTATTCGGTGGAGAACAGAGGTGTTTGGTGGAATCCATTTCGTTGTCGTTCATCAGTGATCTGGATTCAGAGAACCGTATAAAAGTGGAAAAAATGATCGCAAAATGTATTGGGAAAGTATCCGCTTCTTCGGGTCAAATCCCGAAGCCTGTAGTGCCATCACCGAATGGACGTGATTTTGTGTGAGCCTTTGAAATTTGAAAGAATCAATTTTCAGCTCAACTTTCGCCGATTCAAATTGCATTTTGAAAATTGTGTTTGACTCTTGTGTTTGATTTGATTTTTCAAACTCTTATTAAATTTTTGAAAAAGTGATTATCAGAACAGCCTTACGGTATTTTCAATAAGTTTAATGTAATGTTGCTTTTATGAACTCGGATGTTTACGATTCGACCGACATTTTGGAGTAGGTTTGGCGCTCAAGGTTTGAATGCTGCTTATTGAAATAGATTTCAGACGCGTGGAAGGGTACTGGCTGGAAACGGGTACAACTGAACCCAAAGATGATCCACAGTATGTTTGTACGAAATCAGTTCGGAGGCATCTGGCAGATTTGGCTCGAATTGTTTGCAGTGGTCGATATCCGATTCTGCTCGAAGG